GGTTCCTAGTCGATAAAGATCCGTATTCTGCTCTTCGAGTCTACCTACTTCAGTCTTGAGATGGTCCACATCTTGTTCTAGGCCTATGACTTTCCGCTCCTGGTTTTCTATCTGCTCAAGGAGGCGGTTGTTTTGGTCTGTCAGTCGTTCCTTTTCCTTTTCTAGACCCTGGTTAGAAAAATGGATCACTTTGTGAAAACAGTCATGAAGGCTTGTATATTTTCTTGTCAGTTTTTTTTTTTTTTTTTTTTTTTTTTTTTTGCTGCTGTTGTCGACGCCGTGTGCACGTGTGTGTGTAAGTAATAAGGAAAGTGAGAGAGAGGGGGAAGCAACGAGCTTTTAAAGATATTCTGTACGCCCTGGAAAATGTTCTTAAGTCACATTAAAGCCTAAATATCTTATAAAGCTAACCACCTTCCCCGCTTCAGCATGAAGCAAGAATTTGTGAAAAGGAAAAATTGTTTGTTTTTTTTTTCAAAGAAAAATTAGTCTTGGTGCAAAAATCCCGTATAGAATACCTTTAAGATTTTTTTTATTCCATTGTATGCAAATATTTGTTTTCAATTCAAGCCAAAATGTATTCAACCAACTTTGAGGATTTCTTTTTTACACAAGCTGTGGACATCAAATAATAATAAATTAAAATTAATTCCAATTAATTCCAATCTTTTGCATATAACTTACAATTTTCCATTTTAACAGGCCCTCATAAGTTTTTTTCATTTTCTTCTTTTCGTCTTTCATTTCATCTACAGTTTCCCTCAGTTCACTAGCCTCGTTTTCTAATTCATCATACTTCGTCTGCAACTTTTGATAATCTCCCTCTTTAACGGTCATTTTAAAAGTCCATTCTTTTATTTGAACTTTCTTCTCTTTGACCTCAGAGTTGCTCTCTGCGAGGCGGCGCCTCGTGTCAAGAAAATCCGAGGCCAGAATGTTCAGTTTTGCCGCCTTTTTGTCTACGTCTTGTACAATGACATCAAGGTCGCGGTCCTCTTGGCACTCTTTAACGTGTTCTGTCATTGTCATTCTATCAATGGCTCGTTTCATCTCCTCATTGATGTAATCAAGGTTCTTTTTAGCAGCGTTTACTGTTTCCTGAAGGCTGGCCAGCTCTGTTGTCTTGTTCTGCAGAGTATTTTCTAGTGCTGCAATGGCGGATGACTTTTGTTCCCCCTCTACAGCCAGTAGTTGGGCACGTTCGCGGAGATCAGCGTCTTCGGCGTATTTCATTTGGTAATCTAACACCGTAGCTCTCAACTGTAGAAATTAATAAAGAATAAATAATAATTTTTATATAAATAGAAGTGCCCTACTGTCCTCTCACCAAAGTGTTTAAAACGACCATCAAGTACAGATGCAATATAACAACGTAATTGAACTACATGCACCATACACAATTAGAATGTCTTTGGCTAATTCATGGCACAATTCTATTTGGCTTAGAGAGTTATATACAGTAGAGATCGAATATTGAGTCGTGAATTAGCCAGAGATATATCCGTGAATATCTAGGGAAAAATCAATTTATGGCCCTGGTAGAGGGCAACTCTCTACCAGAGCCCCTTTGAAATGTTACAAAATCGGTTGAAAGTCCTTAAACCGATTTTATAACAGCTTTATGGACCTCTGGTAGGGAATGCACCATAGCAATGTTTAGATGTTCTGATGCCATTGGCTTCCACCCTCATCCCCATACCTCCTTGTTCCTTTCTCTAAGATTTCTGTTTTCTTTCACCAACCAGGTGGCGTCCCAGCCCTGGGCAGCACACGTCTGTGGCCTCATGGTCTCGCGCTTCATGCGCTTCACGTGCAGAGACTAAAAAAAATCGAAAAAAAAAAAGAATCGTGCCATGACGATTTGGAGATCAGAAATATCGAGTGCAACGTCATGTTTTTTCGGGTAACCATTGCGCCTTGCAGATGACTATTAAGAAAATCTACAAGTTTAGGGTTTGGACCTGATGAAATCTGCCCTTGGATCGCAAAATAGTAGAAGATAAAGATGATTAATTCCACAGCCTATACAGATGTACAAAAAGACCCATGGCTCTGCCGCAGGTAAAAATGAAACACTGCTTTTATTCATATATATTCTTACACACCGTTCACTTGTTTGCACAGATCAGTGTAGCAGTCCCTTCTCCTTCTGATATTCATATTAAGGACCACCGTCTTATAATTTACAGTGAGTTATCGTAAGTAGTCATGAATCGGCTATTCAAGACATTAACATGATGTGGTACTGATCCTGACAGTGTCATGATCTTCTGTTCGTATGGTACTGTGATCACAATGAACCTTACCGTTGTCCTGAGTGCTCCTAGTGGTGCTTTCTCCCGAAGAACGTAATCCTCCATTTCTGCGTGAATTTCACGAAAAGAATCTAGTCTTGTTAACGGTAATTAGCCAATTGGCGCTGAACACGACTGTGAACGTATTGGTATTGGTTGGTGTCAAAACAACATATCCTGCGTATTTCTGTCGAATTTTATTTTGATACCTTGTAAGTCCACTAGGCCGCCAGCACTGCATAAAACACCATCTGTAGCCTGATGTGTCCATTTAAGGCTTTGTTGCCAATTATGGAGTAGCCATTGTTCGGATACTGTTGACCGTCTTTCTCTTAATGGAAATGTTAATAATCCAATTTTTAAAAAAGAATATAACGAAAGATTAGGAGTCGCCAAAATTGCAGCCCGTATACTATCAGGGTGTTTGTTAAGAAGACATAGTGTTATTAAGAAACAACTGCACTGCACACAAAAGAAAACACGTCTCAACTTAGCGAGAAACAGATGTGTTTTTCAGGCAAAATCGCTGACAGTAATAAGAGAACCGATTGCAATTGTTTGTTGCCAGCAGCAACAAATGCAATACATTTGAGGGGCCATGCAGCCAACATTTCACTATGCGACTTATTAAATACTCAACCTATCAGTAAACGAATATACGATATTCCTTTCACAAGTAATTTTGATTGTCTTCATCCATTGGACATTTGAAATTTTAACTCGAAAGCTAATATCGATTCCATCAAGATATCTCCCAGCATTTTTTATATCTTTTTCACTGGTTATGTAAACCACTCATTGAATGCCCCGTCCGTCTGTAGCGAAGCACGTGAAAACAAATCCCCAGGGACGAAGAATCAATAAAAAGTAATTTCTACACAAACTTCATGGGATTTCGTCACGCAATCACGTGATTAGGCTTTCCACCTTGCACACCATTCACGGACGCTAACCTACACCCGTAATTACTGCATCAATATAGTTAATTAATTAAGGGTGCTATAGGCGCGGATTTAGTTGATGGTTGACTTACATGCGAAATAATGTTTTTAGTTGCTCTGAAAAGAAACAGCATGTATTTAACAAGGGCTGTGTGTTGGGAGATTTGTTTCAAGGTTCTGAGATACTGTAGGAAGTGGCAAATGATTATACCCGTAGAAAAAAGTAGTTCTTTGTATATGGGTATATATATAATATATATAATTTTGATAGCTAAGATTGGAGTTTTTTTTCATGAATCATTATTATCATTTAAAATTCCAACCAAACTAATATATTTCTATAATCTGCTATTCCTACTGCTTATTAATACGGGAGTAATAATCTCGATAATCTCCGGGACCTGTGGTTTGCAGTTTATAATGCCATGCCCGTAGCAACTATATTTACAATCGGGCTAAGAAATCGCGGTTTCTGTAATTAATTCGGATGTCACAACGAAAAAATAAATCCAATCGCGCCTCCAATCACGAACGTCAATTTCGGTAATTAAGAAGAATATGTATAGTTTGTCATCCATAGTTAATTTAAATCAACGCCTGCATCTGATAGAAAGAGCACGTTGAGTGATCTGAGTCACGGAGGACGAAATTCACGTCCTCACAGTGTGCTCACATTAATAAGAAGAAATTCGATGATTTGTAAGCAGTTCAAACCCACTACTTTATGTTTGTTGTTGCAAAGGAATACGTCAATATATGGCATGTATAATTAGAGAGTCCAGCGTCATTGCGCCTAAAACCTGCCTTCTACGATATGTTTTAGAGTAGTGTGGTGATGCATTTAAATCCAAATCGCAAAGTTTTCAGGTTTCTAATTAAATTAATAACGCATTTAAATACTTGCGAAGAACGTCCCAGTATTGGTCTGTTTCGTGCAGTAAAAGTTTCAAGGTCATTTCCCTAGAGTAATTTTACGGCGCACATACTGATCAAATTGTAACGCCTTCCGTTTTGCTCAGTCTTGCCTTTTTTAGTATATGGGACGAATGTCACCTGTACTATAGGTAAGTAGTTTCGAACGGACTACGGTTCCTAGCGGAGTACTGTGCCTGTCACACCGAGATAGGCCAGCTGCGTAATGCGCTTTGAATGTGGTAGTTGTGAGATAACATTGCATTGCCAGGAATGTCTGGTCAGGGAATTATATATTCCGATATAATTCCCTGGTCTGGTGACACAAGCGAGACACTGATCAAGCATGATACTAAAAATCTCGTATCATTCACAATGGCGAGACACCATTTATAAAAACTCACTAATTAAACAAAGGCGAAACACCTTTGATAAGGAATTAGACAACCAAACCTACATTTAAAGAATTTCTGCTTCAATGTCGGGCTTGGTTCAGGCATCGACGATCATGGTTCTCCAGTTAACTCTTTTTTTTTTCAGTCAGCTGGATAAACTCGTTGTTGGACTATAGGCAAGGAATTATATATCTAAGCCTACTAAGTCAACATTTGAAGAGCACACTTAAAATATATCCAAGCAAAGATCTTTTTTTCTTTGTGATGCGTTATTATAGAATATACAGGGTATGTACATGTGTGTCAATAAAAAGTAAGACTAGACCTGCGTTTCCAGTAAATCGGTTTGGGCGTCTGTTTTCCATCGTGACCCACTTTCTTCGACATATTTATTTATAGTTTGTATAAGAAAAGAAGTAATATTCGCTTTGTATGCTACAACGTGTTTATTGTGGTCAAACGGGGTACTTGGTATAATTTGTGTAAAGCGTGTGGCAAGAGTTCAGTAAAGCGGTATAGTCTGTGTGTAGGCGTGTATTGCGACATCGAATCCGGGTTGAGTTTATATGTTTATGTTACAACGACGATACAACACTGCAAGTGGGTTCTACTCAGGTCAGTATGTGTGTGTGTGTGTGTGTGTGCGCGCGCGCGCGCGCGTGTGTGTGTGTGTGTGTGTGTGTGAGAGAGAGAGAGAGAGAGAGAGAGAGAGAGCGAGAAAGTGAGAAAGAGGGATGCACAGGCACATGGAGGGAGAGAGATTGTTTGCGCATGGGCATACTAGTTGGGAAGGAATGCATGTATCATGAAGTATTTTACTGCCATGTTAGAATACTAGTGCGGTTGTTTTATGGAATGAGAGAACAGGTGTATATAACAGTTCCAGTCGAAAAAGTTATTGCTTTCAATATATGGTAATACATTTTACAGACTAGGGCCGTTTTTGCCATATCACACACAAACAATATGTACGTAATTTCGGTATTTGGGGCTGTGGGATACACATGTATATTCCTACACAAATTATATGAGAAAAAAAAGCCCTTGAAACGCTCAGTAGCTGTGTAAGCCGCTTTTCACATTTTAGCTGCGTAAACCTGACCCAGATATTGGATGTAATATAAACAGCATCAAGCGGGAATCGACGGAAAACCCATGTTGCTGCTAGGTGGTTGTACAGCTAATGATAGGCTGCATTTTGTTTTGTTAGCAGACAGTCGCTGTTGACCGGTTTACCTCCATACTATACAGTTACACGCACTGGACAGTTACACGCACTGGAACATTTGATTTAACAGAATAGGCGTACTAGGGTAGGTTCAGCTCTCTCTCTTCCTCTCTATCCCTCTCTCTCTGATCTGTCTTAATCTCGCGCGCGCGCGCGCCAGCGACTCTCGCGTTTAGTGATACAGTAACATAATATAGAAGAGTCTTGTTAATAATTATTATTTATTATGTATTGCTACGATCGACGTAGTAGTAGTAGTAGTAGTAGTAGTAGTAGCAGTAGTAGCACATGTAACAGCAGCAGTTATAATAGCAGTTGTAGGGCAAGACTATCCCATAAATATGGTCAATGGCGATTTAGCGTGTGATACTGTATAAAAAAAGGCACTGGAAGTTTGGGTGTCGTCTTTCATCTATATTATTTGCACGGCGCATAATAGTGAAGCTCTGGGCATTACTGTCTTATACATGTATATAAAACAACACAGTTGTTTTGTAGCTTGGCTCTTTTTCACATTTAGCCGTACATTTAACAACAACAACAACAATAATAATAATAATAATAATAATAATAATAATAATAATAATGAATTCAGCTAGTATATATTGAAAGCCCGGCTATTACGTAATGTAGTCACCTAAACGGAGACCTAACATTGCAGAACATGTTGTGGAGAAATTGTGAAAGAGGGGTCAAATAACCTGTATCGTAAGTACAGGTCAGGACCTCGAAAAGTGTACCGGTACAGACGGTATCGCTAAATATACCGCTCCATATTAAAATGGTCTTTAAGTATGTATGTTGGTTCGTAATTGGTTCGAAAGTTCGAGGCTCATCTTTCATCTTTCATCCACATTTTTAACTGACGGAAGCCCGAGGCATTATCGTCCCCTATATAAAACAACGTACACATGTTCTGCAATAAGACACGAATGTGAAGTTCACATTGCCCAGTATGCTTTTAGCAAAAGCTGAAGTGGAGTTTCCTCAGTTTTTTCTCTTCTACTAAGATTTTGAATGCTGGTTAAAATGTATGGACTCCCTTGCGCAATGTCTTGGGTTGTCTTTTGGGGGCTGTGCTTTTATATCAGACTGAGCAATATTCGGTAATTCATCCTTTATACTATCTAGATTTTAACAGAGGTTAATTGACTTTTTTTTTGACAAGAGACTCGTGCGTTTTAACTACAGCTATAGAATTTAGACACCTGAGGGACAAGACTTTGGTAAATACCATATTTTTCTATGTAAAAAATCTTATTAATACATTTTTCATCTGTCAGCATTTCTTGTTATGTACTATGCTTATTTGAATGTAGATACGTTCGTTTACTAAGCAGACTATAGAGAACTTAATTTAACTAATATCCGGAGATATGGAAACATTAATTGTTGATTTGTTATTCACGTTAAACCTATAGAAAAAAATTACCACGAGCTGAAAACATTCATCAGTGTAATATTCCTATCTGAACGTCGAAATGCTGTGAATCAGCGGTTCAGTAAAATTGCGTTCGCCCTGCAAAATTGACAGCAATCCAAAAAATGTGCAGATCTCCATCGGTATGTTGAAAATGTCCACTAAGGTCGTTCAATTGTGTTTCTAATGCAGCCAGTCTTGAGGTTGTAGGCCTAACACATAATTGTACCCCAGTAAAATAAATAAATAAATAAATAAATAAATAAAGAAAAATGAACTGAATGAATAAATACAAATTAAAATGAAATTTGACGTTATGAAAATACGTGAGTGAGATAGCTATAGGATAAACTAGCCCTTGGGCGGAATAGTCGCTCGGCATGTGCAGTAACTAACATAAATCTACGTTGAGCCAATATGGCTCCCAAGCTGCAACCACGTCAAAGCCACCTGTAACAATGCAGAACAGCGTCAGCAACGTGCTCGCAACGTACTGTGATTGTTGGGATAAAATTAGGAATTATCTAATTTTGGTTTTGTTTTTCAGTTCCTTGATTATCATCGGAGCAATGGCAGAGTTTACGACATACTGGAACCCCGCTCAGTTGGCGCTGGTGTGTTTTTATGTGTTCGGATACTACAATCTGGCCGTTGCACCATATATCATCTACAGACATGCATGTAAGTAAATTATTCAGCTATTATGACTAGTTTCACAAACTACTGAAGTCGATAAGTCTCTTCTTTACAACTTTAATTTTGGCCTCAGACTATGGATGGTAAAGCTGGAACCGTCTTTAATGATTTGTGAAAACCAAAAGCCATTTTAAGTGGAAAAGAAAAGAAAGAAAAACAAGGAAAATGTTTTCTTTTGAGTGGACCATTATTGGTTTATATAGCAAACTTGGACAATAATTTCAAGTTAGGGCCAACTTTGGACTTAATTTAGCCCTATTATATTGTAAACCCCATTCAGTTATTGAGGTGTTTTTATTAGACTGGATATTAATAAATGACGGAAATAATTTTACAATAGAACAGACATTACTAATGGAAAATATCGATTGAGAAAGTGATTTCCGGAGCCACTAAAGCTATTTGTTATATATGGAGGATGTTTTAAATAGTCATTCTACTAAGAATCCGTTGAATCTGTTCATAGACATCAACTTCTTCTTCTCTCTCTCTCTTCTCTCTCTCTCTTTCTCTCTCTCTCTCATTTATTCGAACTGAAAAAATAGCATTGGCACGAACCAAATTCCTATGTTTCAAAGAAATAATAGATTCTTAAATACTGAAATGCTATATTGGAGGAGGCAGTGAGAACCTTTTCAACAATTGGACATTATATACATTTATAAGTAAACAGACGAAAACCTTAATTAATACTTTTTTGTTATGCAAGGATGAATGGCAATCAAACACACACACACTCGCACATGCGGGTGCACACACACACACACACACACACACACACACACCTTTTATTCCTGCTGGTTTATTGTGGGGGTCAAGATGGCATGTTTTTCTTTTTAATATTTAGAGTGGATAAAACACACTGTGGTTCTCACCATAATGGATACTGACTTACAAGATGTACATTTCAGCTGTCATGTTCTGGGTTGCCTTCGCCTTGTTTCTGTGGTTCGTGCTGATCCCTGTTATGATGTTACTGATGACCATGGGCGCCAAGACTGGACGTGGGATTGTGGGAATGATTTCTAAGGGGTTTCCTTTGATGAAAGGTAAGTCGGTCTTTTCGCTGAGTACCTGTACTGAGATGCAGCAATTATTATATTACGATCAAAGCAAGCCAGAAAGTGAAATTGATTCATGAACAGGCATGTGTATACTCTCTCTCTCTCTTATCCTCTCTCTCTATTTCATATGTTTCCGAGTCTGTCATTGACTTTCTAGTCTATACTCTGTTCCGTAGCACTTATACCATATATTCTTCTTTCTCGACACAAGGGGCTGGAATAGCGCTTCTTGTTCTGCAAGCTATTCAGAACTTAATAATGTCCTTGTTAAGTGGACACGCCCTGTTCTTCATGTTTGACTCCTTGTCGTCTCCTTACCCGTGGTCAACGTGTGACAACCCTTGGAATACGGAATGTTGTGGACAGCCAACTCCGCAACCCAACAGGTAGGTGGATGTCTGTAGCCAGCCAGGACCCTAACGTTCGACCTTTATATAGCATACATGTTTAAATTCTGATTTTCCTCACTTTAGGTTAAACAACGAGTTTAAGTTAAAAAAAAAACGTTCACAGAGTTACGATACATTCGTTTGGTTTTGAGATGTAAGTTTCTAGTTTCTTAAAGAAGATAGTAGGGCCCTACCAGTTAATATCACTCGTGATGGAAAAATGTATTATTCTTGACTCGAATTAGGGTTTGCTGAGCCATTAAAGGAGCCATTTACTAAGCCATTAAAGCATATTTTTTGTCATATTTAAATATGCATTGTAAGATTTTCCCGTCACAAACTCATACTTGACAAATTTTCCTGAGATAAACTCCGGCTAAACAAGTTTGATACTTCTTTACTGACACTCGTCATAACTCTAACACTCCTTAAAAATTAAAAAAAGGTGTAACCCCAGGTGGGTTTTTCAAATTCCACCATGACTTCGAGAACGGACTTGCGTGTTGTGCGTTTCAACCTATGTCAAGTGGCTAGGTTCGCCAGGAGGTGATAAATTAGATCAATTTTGGCCACGTGATTCATGGTATTCGTCTGCTAAAAATGATCAAGAAATATAACTTGCCTCTAAGATATAATATGTACCACAGAAAGTGGTTTATATATTCAATGCGTGTTAAAAATCTTACACTTTGTCCCTTAAAGCGTTTAAAATTTTGATGGAAATCATTTTTGTATCCGTGTAACACTATTAAAGTAAGCCCTTTGTACGAGTCAGTATATATTTAATTAAGTCATTAATTTGGTTTTCCAGGGACTTCAGTTCTGTAGATAGTTTCAACTTCACTACCGTGCACTGTAGTCCAGGCCAAGAATCAAGCATGTATTTCAGGTACGTCTTTCATTTCTAAATGGCTGACGTATTATTTGCAACTTTCGAATTTACCAAAAATGACTATATAAATATGTAGGTCTTGAGCAATTAGATTAAAAAATGGAGAAAATATATGAATTTCACAAAAAAAAAGAAAAAATTTACTGTGCACACCTACTGTATATATATATATATATATATATATATATATATATATATATAATTTTGTCCCACTTTAATTGCTCAAGATTCATATACATGTATTTGCAGTCATCGTATATTGCAAAGCAATAGTGATGGGGGTGTGCCATGGACGACGGCGTTACCGACACTAGGTGTCTGGGTGTGCGTTTTCTTGGGAAGCATGGGCGGAGCGGGAGTTTTTGGTGTGGTAAGCGACACTCCATATTCCTGGGTTATTACGTCAATTATGGGTTTTACGGTTTAATCTGTTTTTAAACGTGTAATCTTTTAGAACACGTTGAATGTCTATGCTTTTTTTTAGAAATTTTATTATGAGAAAATTTAGTTACAATTAGTAGTTAATTCTCAATACACTTTCTATGAATATGCATACACTATACAGTATGTCTACAATGTTTTAAAATAAAACAGTAATTGCCTGAAAGTTTCCATCCAAAACAAAGGCCTTATTCAACTATTGCTATTCACATATTCTTAAATATGTAAAAAAACGTATATTTTCATGAAACTTTCTTCTTTGCTGTCTTGAAAATCGTATTTCTTTTATCTAAATACAGTACGTACAAAGTAATTTAATTTTAAAATTTTAGAAATGTAATCACATGATTAAAACGTGACACTATAATTTTAATCATTATTAATATTATCATATTTATCTGGATGAGAGCTTTTTCCTCCCTTCTAGATAATGTATGTGGTGGCTCCCTTGTATGCGTTATTCTACTTCATTGTGCTGATCTATGGTCGTACGGTGGCCGTCCCCGAGGAGGTCACATCCACAGCTATGGAATACTTTTACGTGCTAAGACCAGAGGTGCGAATGGACGTGGAGGTACGTAAGTCTTAATCAATTGTATAGTTTGAACGATTGTGTGTGAAAGTTCAAAAGAATATGATAAGGATGTTCTGACGCATTGCACTGGAAATAGATTTTCCTTTTCATAATGGCCCAAGGTTTGCCATTTTTTCTAACCCACTGTTCTCCAAATCCCGCAAGATATCGCTTAAATTTAAACCACGTGGGGAGCCTTGAGGCTTTCTCTGATGAGTCCCATGAGAGTGCTCTTTTGACAAATTTGAAGTTATGAATGTTAACTTTGGCAAATAACGTGTCACTTCGTATTTATTCCAGGAGGCTCTGCGTGTTTTTACGTATTTGATTTATTCTCTTGGCCTCTTCTCCGGGATTTTACCCACGCTGGGGAAATATACAGGTAGAAGATGTCGCCAGTATAAATGGCTTTATTATTGGTTAGTATATGTCATTAAATCGTACTTTGGTGCAATAGACTGTAAAAAATATGCGTAGATAATTTTTGTCAAGTTTTATTCGTTGCCGCATCGTATTCGCTAGTCGTCGTTGTTTCTGATCTCACTCTCCTCCCACGGAATCTCGCTCGATTTTAAGTTAAGTCGCAAGACCGAAGGCTATTAATGTAATCAATGTGTACTTTAAAAATTCTTATTATACCGGAAGGTTATGTGCCGACAACTCAAGTTACTCTACAAAACACTCCCTGCTCCTTATTCATTCGTGGCTGTCAATTACTAACATTACAGTTATATAATTACAAGGCCTTGTTTAAAATTTGTGAGACCTGTTCTTTGAATTTATTTAATATTATCCTATATAGCAGGACAGGGTATTCGGGTGTTGGTGTGCAGACATAATGCTTACAACAAAAAATTAAACCATTTAATTTAAAATCCTTGACAATGCAATTTACTTACTTATGGCTATTGTCTCTCTTGATGAACGGGTCATCAACAGGATTTATCCCTCCCTATTATGGGTCCTCAGACTGTCTCTAGATTGTTAATTCGGTAAAACCGCTTGTTAGAGTAATGCTGAATTTGTCATTTTAGTTATGAATAAAATGTTGATAAATGCGTTAAATATAAATCAAGTATTCATTTTTCAGTTTCTGGATTTTCCCGTTTATTTTCGTGTTGGTTGCCCCCCATATATCCGTGGGTAAGTAATCTCATTATTGATTCCGCCAAGGAGGTTATGCCGTCGGTTCTGTTTGTCTGTCTGTTTGTTTGACTGTTTGCAAGATGTAATAGAGTTATTAAAGTTGTGAACGAATTTTCATTTAAAAGTTTTCAAAAAGTGCCTGGAGGAGACCAAGAAAGTAACGTTCATACTTTGCTGGTTATCTGTTTATTAATTAAAGGCTAATAAATAGTAAATTAATTTTCTGTGTGTTTACCACATTGTGCAAAAGTTATGGGGGGGGGGGGGTCAAATGTTCAGGATAGGTCAAAAAAAGGATAGATTTTGGTGTTGGTTTATTTATTTATCATTTTATTTTTTTAGTTAATTATTCACTTTATTAATTAACTAAGATAGTTATGATAATCGAGTTAATTAATTGATAGGTGAGAATTGAGCTGCCTTGGTCGAGGTCTGCACTCTGAGTGGATGTCTAGTTACTTATCGGAATAGAATAAACCAGCCACAGTATATTACGTTTTCTGACGGAACTCGAGATACTATTTGATAACAGATTTATTGCAGCTGTGCCGCTCTAGTTGACTCTTGAACTATTGCATTAATCTAATTGTATTCTATTATAAGAAATGAAACGTAACTACGACATTGTCGTAAAATACTTGCAAGTAGTTGCGCTCTCCTCTTTATTCATTAAGGACTGGTTGCACCATACGTTGGAGGTCTAGCGTACAAGAAGCAAGTGTCGTTAGATGAAGTCATGGTTTCAGGAACAGGTATGTTACTCCATACTCTAATCTCTCTCTCTCTCTCTCTCTCTCTCTCTCTCTCTCTCTCTTTACTTTGAACTTCAAGCTTTTGCAAAAGATCCTTCAGCTATTGGTCGTCTTCTAAAAACCTGACCACTGGAAGTGAAGAAATGAGTTAATGAAAGCACCTCGTCACTGTATCTCCGAGAATATTATCATAAAACGAAAAAAGTATTGATTGTTTTTTTCTTTTTGAACTTTTTTTCATTGTCATAGGTCAATAGTAAGATATCAGGATTGCATTCAGGAGTCATAATGCAGGTTAAAACATCTACACCAGTTTTGTTGCACCTTCCTGTTTTGTTTAGTGTTCTCACCTTACACAATTGGAAGCACTTGAGTTGTCATCATTTCTTTCGACTATCTTCAGTGCTCCTGTTTCAAGCTTTGCCAGATGCTGTTGCCGAGTTAGATGTGCCAAATGGTATTGCATTTTTACTGTTTGCAACTATATTTTTAGCCAGTATCATTCCTTTGGTAAGTGCTTACTTTAGTTTGGTTCTGAATTCGCTAATTCTCATATGGTGCTAATGACTGTCTCTGGACGTTGCGCTTTTCTCGAATTCTAATAGTGCTTGTGAAGCTGCTAAACTACATGTACTTACATTGTACAAGTATATCTTTCTCAAATCAAGCAGATCCATTGCATTGCTCATCCCAGTATGATTAGAGCCACCATATTTTGAAATAAAAAATTATGTTTTAGGGATTCCTTGAATCCGATGGAAACACGAGAGGCATGCCAAGAGTTGAGTGGCCAGTTTTCAAGAATCTTTTGGCAATGAAGCAATATTCTTTATTTCTTATTAATTTTTTTGTAGACTTTGACAACCGTCGTTATACTTGACAATATTCAAGAAGGGCTGGGACAGAGGATGGAGAACCGGCCATGGCTGTGGCGACTGGGTTCTTCCTTTGTTTTCTGCACCGTCAGCTTTCTGTTTTCACTGATATTTTGCTCCAGGGTGAGTTTTTACCTTTTATTCTGACGATGTTAACGGGACAACATACGGACAATAGCTTGAAAAATGATATGTGTTCTCTCTCTCTTTCTCTTAATTGATTACTGGCTTGACCATTTGTTCATTTTATCACATACTGACATATGCATGTGAAAGACTACGTAAATTTACACTAAAAAATTACCTTCCAGGGGGGTTACAGCGGCCTCTTTGAAGTACTTGACGTTGCAGTTGTTCATCTGTTCTTTCTGTTCACGTTGACATGTGGCATTGCAGTGGCCATCTCCTTTTGTAAGTACTAATAGGAATGAGTAGTTTTACCGAAAACGAGGTATCTGTGTGGAGGAATGTTTCTGGCTTTATACTTCAATAACGTTCCGAAGAGTTTACGTAATTGTCCGTTCACTGATATGTTGTTGATTTGTTCCGTGCCATGACTTTGGTGGTAGTTGTTTTCTTGTTATGCATATTTCAGAACTCCACTTATATTCAGACGAAAATTAGATCTATGTTTATCCAAACTTTCTGGATTTTCTTTTAAATGTTAAATTCTCGGTCTAATTTCAGTTCGCCTGAAGTATCACTTGGTCATAAAGATATGTCTTGGTATCTGGTTTCTTCTTGCTATTTTAATTACGACAGTAAGTGACCAACAATATAATTTCAATTTAATTTTAAAAATTCACAATATAATACTGTCCTTCCAAGTTAGAACATAAAATGAGAATAAAACACTAATACGCTTGTTGAACGATGAAATTTGTGATAGTTGTACCTTAGTGAAATCACATGTTATGTTCTGTTGGAATATTCATTCTTTTTTAACAAGAGTGTAATTTCTTAAAGCCGGATTATTTCTAAACGTAACATTGTCAGTCATAATGCTTAAAAGATTCTTGAGATCATATTCGTGTTTGTCTTTTCAAAAACTCAACTCTTTATTGTTGTGCCTTGGTTTAGTGTTTTCAGATTATCTACATGATAACCAATGTAAGTTTTTTGGAATTTCTGGACGAAAAATTTGGGAACTATGCCTCGGCGGTTTCATGGGCTCTTGGTATCATAGTCTGGTTGATATGCATGTATGCGGGGGCTTTCCATACAATCTGCACATCTGGAAGCTTCAGTCTTTCCAAGGTGGGTCAGTTATGTGCCACACCACCTACGACTAAACAAGGAGTCTAGTTCATCTTCTGTTACAAAGACTGGTTAGCATATACCCCATATCACAACAGTCAATCCTTTTTTACTAAAAGTATTTCGTTAATTAATAAGTTTATATTATTGTTAATTGTGTTTATGTCAGATGTTTGATCGAACTGTTAATCTTTTTTGCCCATTCATTACAATACTAAATTATTATTTTGTTCATTTATTTCTCTCAATATTGTTTTATAACAAGATCTGCTGCCCAGCTGTTCAGGATGCATATGATGTGGAGTCTCCTCACGTAGAAATGGCACCTTTAACGCCAGAACCAGATGAAACCCCGGATAAAACTGGAGTGTAAATAGAAGCTGACGAGCCGTGAGGGAAATATGACGTCAAAGTATCAAGGGACATGTGACGTCACTAAAAGGTGACATTTGTTGATGACGTATCACAATCATTTGTGGGGTCATAAGTACATGTATCTAGTTTATATGAATAACCCTAGGAATTAATTACGTAAATCAACATCTCATTATCATGTAGTTTATACTTACGTTTTTTATTTTAATATTATCTTAAAAGAGAGGATATCAGAACAGGTTTTTTATTTTAATATTATCTTAAAAGAGAGGATATCATATAGATAATACCAGTTTTTTTTAATTTTATTTTATTATTTAGCGTAAGTATACAAATTAATCTTTATTGCCAAGTGTGGCCAATCTACGAACGCTCTTTGGTCGTCTTAGAGGTTGTTCTTTACTATTTGTTTACGCTCAACTATCAGATTTAAATTACGATGACTTTGATAGAAAGTCAAATAAACCAATATTAACCAATACCTAGAAAGAATGAAACACGGCTAATAATATAGCTGTTTGATTCAGTACATAAAGTCACGTACATGTTAACGGTATGGGCATTGGCTTGACTTTGAACACGCAATTTTTTTCTCTCCTTTTCTACAAGAGCTCGAACTTTCGCACAAAAAATCCCGAATGCAATTAACAATCATGAATGTTAATCTTTTATTTATGTTCAGAACAGAAGGCGAGCTTGACTATGTGGGCGTGCACTAAAAAGGCAGAATACTGTTATACATCTTTTATATCAATAGGATATATTTTATACTTAGATTTTAACACAAGTGGAATGTGTTATGGAAATTCTTGTAGTAATTTTTTCTCATTTTATTGGACCTTTCTTCTTTTTCATAACGCATCCACGTTATGTTTTGCCAAAACATAATCATTTTGTTATGATACTTAAAGTAAATGTAGTTAAGAACAACACATCAACAGTATGTCTATAATGTACACTACAATTGTTTGGCTTTACACTTACTAGCTTTTGCGTCTTGCGTGCTAGATTTTTTGCAGAACTTAAATGTAGGTCTACAAAGTGATGTACATTCAAATTAATAAGTGCTTTTAAAACCAAGACGTAGGCCTATACATCGTTTTTTAATGATCTGATACCAAACAATGTTAACAAAGGAGAATGTAATCGATACTGTTTGTAAAAGGACTTGGATTTTGCATCTAGATTAACTTTTAGATTTTTAGAATTTATATGTAGGCCTAGATATGAATAAATTTTAGCATTGAATCAATGTTTTTGGAGTTTTGATTTTGATATGAATCTGACATCAATCCCTTTTCTTTTTACTCGTGAGTTGTGGCATATTTATTGACCAGAAAAGGGGATAAATTTGGCCCCGTTTCAAATAGTCAAACTTCGGTTTTAGCTAAGATTAGGCCTACAACTGATCGTATCTGACTTAGGCCTAGTGGCGTTTTTAAGAGAATCTTGCAGTATATATATATATATATATATATATATATATATATATATATATATATATATATATATATATATTTCTTTCCAGTTTTATAAGTAAAGCTACAATCCAATCCATAGTCCTATGGTCTTGATACCGTGGAACAATAAACAAAGAATAGCGTTTGACCGAATAATCATGAAAATAAAGTACATCAAACATGTACCTTTGACAAGAAATTGGAGATCTTGCAGATCTATTCCATTCCTCATTATTGCAAGTGGCAAAGCTATGTTATTTCCCTATTGTAGGCCTAGTCTCACATCTTAAGCATTCAAGTGCTTTTCCCATCAAATTTATGGCAGTCACTCTTTCCTCTTTTTATTCCTTTACTCCTATAATTAAACACTGTTCATACCCCTCGCTGACATTTATTTCCGCATCCGGTGCTACAGCAAATAAGGCCACAGGGGCAGTCGTCGTCTGCTCGACATTCATTCTTGTCGGCGCATGCGCTACCTTTAAACGCTTTCGTGTCCGGACATCTAAGAGCCCTTTGACAGACTTTCGTTGAACAACCCAATGAAGCTGGACAGCATTTTTCCTTTCCGTCGGAACAGTCACTGTTGCTGTCGCAGGGTGTATTCTGTTTGATGACTAGTGGATCACAAAGCTCTGAGGAACATGGCCGTGGGCATCGAATATCTAGCAACAGAATAACGTGTATGTGTGTTGTGAAGACTCTTCGAAATTAGACTTGGTGGACAACTAAAATATAATTTGATTCTACAAAACAGTGAAGATATTAATTGGTGGCGCTTGAAAAAGAATGATTTATTGGTCCGAAGTTTCGAAAGTCCGAATTAATGCACGAAAAGGCCTAAAATGCATTGTATATATTTAAATAAAGTCAAGTCCATCAGAGGCACGTGCATACGATTTTTGGACCAAGAACCCTCGGACCAATGAACCTTCCAAATATCGAGACGCCCCCTTCTATTAGAACTACACATGCCATATGCATTTACAATAGCTTTCACGTCCGAGAGTTGGCCCCTTATGCCACCGATGTTGGCAAATAATATATTTTTACTAAATACATTTGTAATCTTACCTGGACAATCTGATTGTCTTATGCATTTGTCGCCTTGTAACACAGGTGTCTCTGGAGGACAGACGCACCTAGAGACACATATGTCAGTGTCACAGTGGCTGGTACAATAGGGGTCTTGCTGGACACAGGTGCGCGCGCATCGCCCTCCGCATTTTTTCCAAATCTGCCCCGGTGGACAAACTGGACCCATGGAAACAACGAAATCAAAATTATCATTTAAAAAAAAACGCATTCTATCAGAATCTTGAAACCTCAGAACTTTGTTTTGCCTTATATATACTAGGAAATTATAGGTTGAAAAAGATCCTATACACAAGGGGTATTTTTGTATTATTGTTATTTATTTTTTTTTTGGTGGGGGCGGGGGGGGGGGGTTATAGCAAAGACAAGACATCAAACCATTAAAGTTAATTGTATGAAAATCGAATCTTAAGAGGTAGGCCTACTGCAAAGGAAATGATCTATTGTTCCGAGCAGGGTATCCCCCTAACGAACCGCACACACATACCCATAGCTTCTTATTAAGGGACCGTTCTCAAAACGTCACGCGATTTGCCCAACTTTAACATATAGCTCTGTGGAAAACCGTGTGAGGCTTTGAGAGCGCCTCTTAAGATGCAAGAAAACTAGCTACGGTATAAAATGTTCGTCAGATATAGCAGGCAACTTGAAGTGAGTTTTGAACTAGTTCCACGACGTGTGTAAAACTTAGGCCTACGTAAACATAATGGATTGCCAAAAGAGTATACGGAGGCTGCAAACAATTTCTGTGGGATCGTTGACTTTTAAACAGATTTGATAAACATAATTGTATAGAGTGGATTGAATTTGATAAATGTGACGTTTGGATTGTTTTTCTCCTTCAAAAATACGTCTACTTTGCCTTAAATCCATGCTACAATAAATCTTACCAGTTTGAACCGCGCTTGACTCCACATATACCTGCAAAAGAAGATTTTGAAACCATCATCTGCTAAGATATTAAATTTTAATCGCTTATCCTTGATAATAGTTAATACAATTCTGTATTCAGTAACATTAAGGTCTTGTCATCATTCCTTTTATTTAAATTGATTTTTAAATACAAAATTGCTGTTCTTATATGAATCGACAAATTAACTCACCGAAAAAGCGACGACTAGCAGAGAAAAACTGTAAACGTTAAGGCCCATTTCTTCTTTCTGGTTTTTTTAATGCCACGTCTTGTTTTCACGTACAAAGTATATAACTAAGTTATAACGTCAGAATAGTCTGTTCATTTATCACAGGCTATGAATAACTTAGACATGGGAATAAGCCCAGTGACCGCATAAAGACAGGGCGGCCTAGGCGCTTGTTGTGTTGAACTTAGGAATGAATAATTGAGGTCATTTTGGTTTCAAAACACTTACAGGACAACTAGCCACTTTTGTGCATATGTAATAAGTTTCGATGTGAAAAATGCACATTTTATTCAATAAGCATTTTATACCACATAGTAAATAGATAGGCACACATACATCGAGAGAGAGAGAGGGGGGGGTGAAAAGAAAGGGAGGTTTAACATTTGTTAGAATAAGCTTCATTTTTATTGTCAATGGAAAATTAACACTTAATACGCGGTATTCTTTTCATAACGTCATTTCACACCGACCCTAAAGAGTTGCTCCATATGACAGACAGTCCAATACATATATACAGTGACCGCGTAACCATGGGGACTGACTTGTCTTAACATAAGTTCAAGGAAGTCATTGTCAGGTCCCATCTCTGCGAGATACCTAACATTTAAACTACGCTCTTTACAACGTACTCTCTAACAAATGAAAATTATACTTTTAAATGCGTTTTACGGTGATTTATGTTTCCGTGCTACAAACGCAGCCAAGAGCCTCTTACTATTTACAAATTACATGTTTTAAGAGGCAAATGTTTACCGAACACTCGAACCGATTTGGTCGTGTCTGATTATTAGTATAGAGAAAGACGAATTTACACCGAGAGATTTTATTCCGCGTGGATTTAGAATCCCAGTACAGCGTTCATTCGTAAACGACATACTGTTAGTCTACCAGCAAGCAATCATTCATTTAAGGAAAAATAAATATAGCTTGCAGTATTTCTAAACGCATGACACAAGCTGATATACGTGGCAACTTGTACTACAATACCAAACGACCGAGAAAAAAACGCTAATGTAAAATTTAGGTACGTTTATTGCTCGTTTTATATATATACTGTACACAGTACTTACAGTCACTTTCTTAAATACAAATCTATTTACATGGGATTTATAAACTATTTACAATTTCTGTATTTGAGCAAATATCAGATATTCCTCGGCATAACACAGAAATTTAAATCTCGTTATGCTAAAAACAACATAATGGAGGGATAAGAATCCACTGAAATAGGCTACATTTTTGAAAAATGTTTCTTATTAAGTATATATGTATAGCTTTCGATATTTGATACTTAAATAACTTAGTAAAGGCACTGGTTCTTAAACAAAAACAAATATATATATATATGGTGATATCTATGGATCCACAAAAAGTTTACAAAGGCAACACATTTAGAAACCGATGACTAAAAGCCCATTAATACTTTTGTCCAAAAAATATCATTACAGATACGAGAAGACGGTCGTAGCGTAAAAGGGCAGAGGCAATTAATCATAGTTCTTTAACTGCGTACACACGCTTTTAACTATCAAACCACCCATCGCTGCTTAAACAAAGGCGTACGCCCCTTCATGCAGTGTTACCGATCATAAATCCAATGTTACATTTTACAGGCATATTCAGAATACATCGAGTAAAGACGTTTCTATTACAAGTACTTGCCACTAAAGTGAAAATATAGTCATAATTAACGAACGCAAATGTAGCTGTCGTACATGTTCTATTGTCACGCTATTTATGATGCCTCATAATAAATCAAAAATAAATAACTCTATAGGGAGAAGAGATGTTGATTCTTTTCACGATCATCTCCTCCCTACGCACACTAGGTCGAGAAAGGTCATTTGTACTTTAAATAGCTTCATTGGGCAAGTTCACGTCAAAAGGATTTCTACTCTTTTTGTCTTGGTGATATAGGGTCATCCTTTGTCTAATAATCTTTCGTGTCGATTATCCTCGTTTCACAACTCTCACCGACGTTTATCTGTACATGGATATTTCCAGAGAACACCCGCGTCACTCGAGGACTTTAAACGAGAGCGTACGGGGGTTTTCTGTGCGTTAACATGAAGTAGGCGCATACTGCTTTAAATAAGCTACCATTTCAGCTTTTTTCTTACCCACTTTTTCTTGGAAACAAGCATTTACAGAGAACACCAGCGTCACTCGATGACTTTAAACAACCCCCGTCCTACTTTGTATGCCAAGTGGCAGAACGACGGCGTACGGGAGTTTTCCATGCTTTTTGCATGAAGGAAAGTAGGCGCATGCTGCTTTAAATTTCAGCTTTTTTCTTACCCACTCTTCCTTAAAAACTGACATTTACAGAGAACACCCGCGTCACTCGAGGACTTTAAACAAACCCCGTCCTACTTTGTATGCAAATTGCTCGAACGAGGGCGTACGGGGGTTTTCTGTGCGTTAACATGAAGTAGGCGCATACTGCTTTAAATAAGCTACCATTTCAGCTTTTTTCTTACCCACTCTTCCTTCAAAACATTATTTACAGAGAACACCCGCGTCACTCGAGGACTTTAAACAACCCCCGTCCTTCTTTGTATGCAAAGTGCTCGAACGAGGGCGTACGGGAGTTTTCCGCGCTTTTTGCATAAAGGAAAGTAGGCGCATACTGCTTTAAATAAGCTACCATTTCAGCTTTTTTCTTACCCACTCATTCTTGAAAACAAGCATTTACAGAGAACACCCGCGTCACTCGAGGACTTTAAACAACCCCGTCCTTCTTTTTATGCCAAGTTGCAGAACGAGGGCGTACGGGAGTTTTCTCATACTCCATAGCCTGCATCCCTAAATATAACAACACCTTAAATATCTTTTCAAATTGACCCACTGTCTTATCCCCTATGGTAAACATGTGATAACACTGATATTCTTATACATATTTTCATTTATCAATTCCCTATACCAGGACTTGTAAAAAGAGAGCTGTGTGACAATCTTCATGACTTTAACACTTTACCATGTAACTTGAACATGTGCAATCAACTGCCTTAGTGGCTGTAGATTTACAATATTATGCAGTATATTTATTTCAGTGCCCTCACATGGTAGTCTTAAATGCTGTTCTTGAACTTTTTTCTATTAACCTTAATAATATCAATCCTAACTGTATGCCTATTCATAAAGAACTATTTTTCAATTTCAATTCATGCCAAATAAATATGTTATTAAATAAATAAAAATAATAAATAAATCATTAAATTGTAGCTGCCTTGCCTGTATGATTTGTCATATTTAAGCTTAACCAGTGCCTTGTATAACATTATGAGAATATTGTCTACTAAGTGAAAGCCAAATATAAAACTGTACTAAAGTTAACTTTAAATTCACAAATAAAATAATAATAATAATAATAATAATAATAATAATAATAATAAGTAAAATTACTTAAATTTGTAGTATTGAGTGTACAAGTGTATCTTAGCGACAATAACTTACTACCTAATAGTGTCTAACCCTTAGTGAATTAGCATCGTCCAGTTCAAATTTGAACCGCCCAGCAGCTGCAGCAGCAGCGGCCAGTGAGGCCGAAGTAGCGTGTGGACTACTGAGACCGGGTGTTGTAGTGGACAGTGGAGCCATGGGGGCGCCACTGGTCAAGGGAGCGTGGGTGGAGGTGGCGACGCTGGCGGCACGCAGTGGATGTTTCAGTTCGTATTCCCTGAGCCATGCCTTGCTCTCCGCCAGTTGCTCCTGTACTGGTCTGTGGGGAGGAAACACGGAGCTGTTATTGTTGAGGAGTTTTGACCCCATCTGTTGGCGGATCAACTCACTGTATATAAATGTATAAATGAATAAATAATGAATGAAGAAATACATGAAATGAAATAAATAGATTTATTTTACAGAAATAAAAAAAACAGTAGTGGTGTATATAAATGTTACAGTACAAGTTCACTGAAAGTTTTAATCAATTTCAAATCTATATCTCAGACTCTAATCTGAATTAAATAAGCCTGGTCTTAAAATTAGATATGTAATGCATAACAGATTTTGGATTAGAACAAGAAATTATGCCAGTCTGACACTAATTTCTGAAATGCCCAATCTTAAATCATCCCTTAAATCAAATACAATTTATTGTGACTGTCCCTTTGTGTATAACTTCACAAGTTAAAACAAGGCATCACTTCTAGCTTAGTTGCCAAATAATTGAATTAAGACGTATTTGAATAGGTATAAATTAGCCACGACTAACATGATAAACAAGTGGTCATGACCCTCAAGTGCCCATATATTTACAAGTGCAAAATTTCATTCACTGCAAGCCTGGTCAGTAGGAACATTTACAATTTAAATCATGTGGTCCTTAAGGTGAGTGAAGACTGAAGAGAACGGCCAGCATAAAAGAACTGACTCACCTAGCCGGTGTATAATCGAGGCTGAAAGTGGTGGCACGGTGGTTGTTTTGAGATGGAAGTGGAAGAGGCGGGCGTGAATCTGCAATCAAATTATAAAAAAAATAAATTATCATCTTAATCACTGTGCTTTTTAAAATAATATTATCAATAGCTGATAATGTGTATAATCAAACATGCCATTAATCAATTCATAATAAGTCTATCACAAATGGACTGATGCAAAACGTCTAATTCATCTAGATTTAAAACTTCAGCATATTTCAGCAAATGAAGATTACCTAAAAAAGTACTCAACTGTTAGTAACAAATAAAAACATGCTAATTTTAATAGATAACTATTGGTTTATCCTGAATTGAAGTAGACAAAAAAAATAAAAAAAAGATCAGCTTTCAGTCTTAGTCTCCTTTGTGAGATCAGCCCCTGGGTGGTCTTTTAACTTCACAGTGCAGTTGTGAAAATTGTGAAAAAAAAAAAAATAAATAAAATAAACAGAAAATGAAGCTGTTCATAAATGTTTGTGCAGTTGAACATTTAATTCCTATTGAATTGATAGGGGTAATGCACTCACCTCCAAAATACTTCCGCCATTTCTTCTGTAGAAACTCATCAGCTGTTTCTCTTGGAGGAATCTCACCACTGACAGCTGCTCTGTTGGCTCTACTGCAATTGTGAAGGTGAACATTATGTCAAGTGATCATATACATACAAAATGACAACAACAACATAGAAAATGCATCTTTCCATCTTATCTCACTGATTATTTCAAGTATAAGCACAAGATTTCACAAAGAAACGTTTTAAAGTATTTTAAAAGAAACATATAACACAAGCACATTCACACATTACTGTGACAGCACCTAATGTATAAGCATCACGAGGACAAGCCAAGAAACCTCCAATACAGCACAGCACAGCAAAACATAGATAACAGATATCAGGTCTTAAGTTCCACATTCACATCAGGACCAACTTGAGTACAAATTGACCAAATGATGTCAGCAAACGACCAGATTTCCTAGGAACCAGTGTGCCCTGGGATATGCATACAACTCCCAAGATCAACAGATTTACACGCCTCCTCTTGTATCCAATGGCCTGGTATAACCACCAGCTTATTCTGTATTCTTCTCAGCACCGGGAGGCGTGTTGATCTAATAATCTATTTGCACTCAGGGAGAGTCCCCACTGAGTTGGCTCATTCTATGTAGAATGATAGTTTCAATGGGAATGAACCCTTAAACAGCCTGATCATCTAGTGATGTCAACTAGCTTTAACCTGGTGTAAGTTAGTTCTGATGTGAACATGCCTCAAGGCTAGATATAATATAGAGAAATGCAGAGGGACAAGATGATGGGAAGCATACTCACAAGCAGGCTAAGCAAGAGTTGAAGTGAGGCCAGCTAGTATAGGCAGGGCAAGTGTGATACACGCTAAGGTAAAGAAAATAAATGAAAAGAAAATAAAAAATAACTGAAGAGATATGTGAAAATGGAAAAAGAAAAGAAAATAGCAGAAGAGGTAGAATAAAAGAAACTTATATTTCAAAAATAATGATTCTGAGAGAGAGAGAGAGAGAGAGAGAGAGAGAGAGAGAGAGAGAGAGAGAGAGGGAGAGAGAGAATAAAATTCAACAGATAGCAGTTCAAGTAGTACTAAATGCAAACAGCAAAATAATAAATGAAATAATTTTGCAGTGTAAAACAATAGCAGAGGAAGAACAAAATCTAATATTTCATTTATTTTTACAGCCAAGATAAGACTTACTTGTATGGGTTGTCTGGGTTGGTAGAGACCTGAGGGTAAGGCCCACGTGTATGTGGTAGGCGCTCTGAGGTGCTAGGCCCTGATAAAATAAGAAATGAAAATTAATAATTTTGAATAAAATAATTATAAAGTAAAAGACACTAAATAGCAATTCACTGATACAGAAAAAAATGCCGCCACTTTATTTTATATAACTCTTTGCAAAATAGGCAACAGTTCTCATTTGTCATTAAGTTAAGAATAACTGTTCAGATTTATTTTTTTACAAATTATTTTTGTCTGAGTTTGAAATGCACAAATAATGTGGCAAAACTTGTTTCTTGAACTATGTTAAAATGATTTAATGCAATAATACCCAACACTCAATAAATGATTGATAAACTGAACATCTTCTCCACTCAAACTTCAAAAATGAGTTCAACCCTTCCCCAGTTTATTTGTATCTCTTAACTCGTACCATAAGGGCCCTCTGTTGCTCCACCAGAGTTATTGTAGCCATTAGACTTCATGAAGTTGATGACATCTTCCATCTTCTGGTTCAGTCTTCTTAACTCAGCACCAAAGATTGAGTCAGCACCGTCGCTGCCAGCAGTTGGCTTGTGTCTCCAGGAGGTAGGTCTGTAAGAAGGCTTGGAGGGAACACCTGGAGAAGAAATGATAAAAAGTTATAATGTATTTAACTCCCTTTCTTTCTTTCTTTGTCTCTTTCTCCCTTTCTTTCTTTCAGTGAGCAAATGAAAATAGAAAATTACCCCCCTTTTTGGTCTTACAGTAGTTCGCAGAACACAAAGCTTGCATAAAAGTTTTCTCTGCTTAATACAGTTCTTGTGATTTTTTTCTTTTTTATTTATTTTTTATCTACTTAGTATTTACTAAATGACTTATACTTGTTCATCAAAATCCATACATTCATACATCAAAAATGCAGTAATAAATGCTGTAATTGAGCAATTTGGTTTTGTTTGAATTAAGACGTTAACTGCCTTATATCTCCTTGTGTTTTTTTCTTGTCAAATATCAAAAGGGGAAAAACCTCCCTCTCTTCCAATCCACATTAATAATCTCCAAGCTACATCCAGATTATAAAGGGACAACTGACCCGCTGCAAGATCATCCAAGTTGAGGTCACTGCTACTAATGCCACTACTCTCCTCATCTGAGTCAGTCAACAACAGGTCAGCATGGTCAGTTGGTGGTCGTTTCGGATGGTCAAATATTTGGAATGTATCAGAGTCAGACTCGGACTAAAAAGAAAAAGAATTGTAAATAAATGTGAAATGAGGAAACAGAAGAAGGCTATGACAATGATATTTACATGTACTACCTCCCCAGCTTGCCCCTCACAAAAAAGGAGAAAAAACTATAAATAAACACATTATAGGAATGATTATAATTCCCTAAGCTACTTGCAGCAGTTAACTGCACCACTTTTTTTTCATCTATAGTTTTTTTTTCTATTTAAGTTTTACAATTTAACCTACAGCTATAAATCTTGATCTCAATCCCATGCTAGTGTCAGATCTCCTACTATAAAGTGGGTAACAAGTGTTAAATGATCCATCCAAACATGCCTACATCTCTTTCCTCTAGGACTAAAAGAAATAAAAATTATTTGGACCATAATAATAATAATTTTAATACACCCCGACTCACCTCCAGCAGTGAAGCCTCCCACTCCTTGATCTTCTTCTCCTTCTCCTTGACCAGCCTGGACCCAGTGGACACATTACTGGTCAGTGCATCCAGGTCCTGGGCCTCTTTGTCCAGTCTGGCCTTGGTGAAGGTCAGCGCGGCCTTACCAGCTGGGGACAGACCCTGGGATTACAAACACAATGTTTAAATAAAGGCATAAAAATTTATATGGAATAAACTTTATATAATCTCATGAGGAGTGAAGTGAAAACCAATCTATGCTCTGAGCTAAGTTCAGATCTGTAGGTAAGGATTTATGAAATCAATTATTCAATAATTTATCAGAGAGGGTAAAAAAATTAACTGGTCTTATACACAGGCTAGAATCAGGATATGCATTTAGGCAAAGAAGTCCAAAAGTTTTTTTTTTTTGTATTGTCAAAGTTTTGTGAAAATGAGAAAAGTACAGACAAGTTATTATTCTTTGAAGCATCTCTCTCTCTCTCTCAAAATGTAACTTGCAGATATTGTACAACAAAACAGTGAGCCACCTCTTTATAGAATCTTTCCATGTCCCTCTCATACTCTCTGGTAGCAGCTTTGAATTCAGCCTGGCGACGCCGTATGTCCTGGCGCTGCTTCCGGAAGAATTCCTCAGCCACACTTATGCTGTTTCTCTCCAGTGACATGCGGTTTTTGAATTCTCTGCAAAAAAATAAATAATTTTAAAATAATAATAATAATACAAATTGACACTTTAGATAAAACTCAAAGTCTATATCTGCTCACTGCTATATCTAATGCCATAAGGACAACCTTAGAGTAAACAAACTTAAAGTACTCGTTATTATTAGATGAGATGAAAAGATGTCACAACCAAAAACTCTCCAATGTAAAACCAAAAGCATTGTCTTTGTCTAAGTATCAACATAAAAATCTAGCACATGACTAAAACAGAAATTTAAACAACACCATCACAAATCAAAAAATGCCCTATAGATATGTACAATAGTCTACGTTTAACTCACTTGGACCGCAACAATCTCTTCATTTTATCAGAGTGAACGAAGTCAAAGAATTCATCTGCAGTAGGTATGGATATTTCTTCCTTCCAGGCAGTTCTGGGGCGTGACTTTCCAGGTGACCAAGTTTTCCCAGAGGTTCTCTTGGTTGATCTCTTAGGAGTAACCTCAACCTCCTCCTCTACCTCCGATTCTGAAGACAGGCTAAAGTCTTCTTCTTCCTCAGACTGATGTTTTCTTCGACGCACTGAAATCAATTAAAAAATTCTCATAGAAGTCATTTATGAGTTAAGAACATATTCAAAATGTTGGACAGAGTTTCTTAATTATTTGAGCAAAAGTCCTGTATAATTACTATGTGGAAAACAAAATGAACCTTAATTTTTTTTTTTTTAACTTTCAACAACAATGAATGACCAAAAGCAATGCATTAGCCTACACCTGCAAACTGATAATCAGTAACTTGTACACAAAAAGATCTTTAAAGCATTGCTTTAAAAATGTGGCACTAAAGCATTTACTACCAAATGAATGTAACAATAAGTATGCAGTACTACTGGCAGGGACTAGGAGATACGCACCTGACTTCTTCTTAGGGGTGGTCTCATCTCTATCACTGTCAGATCCTAAGTCTCCATTTTCAACAATTTTAACTTTCTTGGCTGCTTTTGGTTTCTTTCTGGTCTTCTCTTTCTTTTCCTGATAAAAAAGTTTAACAAAAAAAAAGTTAAATGTGTATTTAAGACACTGACAGAGTCTCTCTCTCACTAGCAAACAGGCATGCACACACAGACACACACACACAAAAAGTATAATTAGCCTACTAGTCTAGAAGAAATCTCACCTCATCTGACAGTTCATTCTCTGATGGCTCTGCAGCCATTTCTGCTTGCAATTTTTCTTCTTTTTGCTTTTGAATTTCTGCAGCCTTCTTCCTGATCTTGTCCTCCTGTATATAACAAAAGGTTCACATTAATATATGCCACTTTTGATGGAATGATCTGCCTCATTGCACTCGCATGCAATACACACACATGGGGAAACAACATATTATACAATATCAGATCTTCCAAATTTCAACAATGACATTTTTAAATACAGAATTCTTGATAAGTTTTCCATTCTACACACATACTGCAAATTTTTGGTCTTTCTTTGCTTCATCATCTCAATCTATCCTAAATAAGGGTGACCTCTTACCTTTTGTTTTAGCTCTTCCTTGAGCTGCTGTTTGGTTTCTTCATACTCTTTCTTCATCTGCTCAAGATCCTTGGCCAGTTGTTCTTTCAAGGTGGTCAACTCATTCTCAAATTCTTTCTTGGCCAATTCCTGTTCCTCTTGAGCCTGTAAAAATAAAATATAACAATTTTTAAGACAGCTGGATTATATAATTATGATAAACTGTGGTCAATATCGTGGACCCCTGTCTTATAAAGCACATCTTAAACAGTGGAACTTTAGAAAAAAAATTTCACCAACCACTTCATAATGACAGCAAATACAGACTGAGAAAAAATGTTTCTGATACTTCTCCTGGTTGTTACCTACCTTTTCTTTTTGTTCCTCCAGCCATTCCTTGTTTTGTTGTTCCAATTCAGCTTTCATCTTCTTCAGCTGTTTCTCGTTGTCTTCCTTCTGCTTCCTGGACTGTTTCTCAAAATCAGCCTTGATCTTGTTCAACTCTTTCTCATTCTCTGCTCTGAGATCAGTCTTCTTTTTCTTTTCCTTTTGAACATCGTCAAGCTTCAAGGAGAATAAAAATATGACAAGTTATTCTACTGATTCCAACTTCCTTAATTGCCACAATGTTATTATTCCAAAACTGCAATCTATCCTACAATAGTCTCATATTTCATGACAGAATAAAGTCAGTGTTCATGAAATGGTTTATCAACATCAAAACCTCAATTTGGAAAACTTCATGCTAATGCTTTAGGTCCAATAATAAAGTGGTAGCACACATTTGCTTTCATCACATTTTCTCTCTCTGTATAACCAAACTTTGTAAAGGGAATTTTACTCCCCAACCCACCTCTTCCCACCCTACCCATCTCTACCCTGTGTTTCTCACCTCTTGCTGCAGATCTGCTCTTAGAGTTTTCTTTATATCATCAAATTCTTCTCTAACTTCCTCCAGTTCCTCTTGTTGTTTCTGCTTCAGTTCTTTCTTCAACGTTTCAAGCTGCTGTTCCACTTTTTCTTTCTCTTTCTTTTCCTGAATTGAAAATAACTTTGCTTTTTACTTTTATTGTTTTATTTTTTTAGCCAGAACCATAGGGCCTTTGTCTGGGAATTTATTGAAAATTTTTATAGAGGAAAATTTACTTCACAGAAAAAACCAAACAAACAAATAAATGATCACCTTCTGCTTGTATTCATCTTGCATTTTCTTCACAGTTTTCTCAAAGTCAGCTTTCATATCAGCCAGGACCTTATTCTGCTCTGCCTTGATCTCATCTTTCTTCTCTTTCAGGACATCGTCCAGGCCTCGTTCTAGATCATCAACAGCCTTCTGTCTCTCTCTGGCCGCCTTGACCTCCTGTTCTTTTCTATCAAGTTCATTCTGTTGCAAAGTCTTCAGCTCTGTCTCTAGATCTTTCATGTCCTGGATTTGATGAAATTTTTATCATTAAAAGAAAAACATTCGAAAAAAAAAAATAATAATAACTATGAAGTATTACCCATCAAAACTTTACTTGGTTTTCTCTTTTTAGAGCCTATACTCACCTCTCCTCTGTGTTTGTTTGACAGTGATTAATTTGAGGAAAAAATCATGTGTGATGTCTGCTAAGAGTTGTCATATGCAATTTAAATCAAAGCAAAAACACTGCAAACTTCACTCTCATTATCAGCTGTACATTTTTCTAGGCCTGTTTAGAGCACTAATTATTTAGTCGCTACCTTTTCTAAGCCCCATTTCACACATCACTATGCTCAGCTCTTTAAAAATCAAACACTGATGATAGTCCTTCCCATGAACTCTTTGAGTTTAACAATATCCAGTATAATTTCTATTTCTACAACTGTCAATTTTTTACACAACTTATAACCATGAGAATTACAATTGGGATATTCCTGTAATAAAGAATCTTAAAACATCACCATGCCAAGTACAAATTCTGTATGCCTAAAATGACACGTCCCCACAACATATCAATACACAAATATAAATCTTCATTAAATTCACATATTAACTGTATGTGAGTTGTAAGCACCTGCTCATGTTTCATGATAATTTTTTTCCTGCTTTCCTGGACATTAGCATTGTGCTCCTTCTGCAGCTGTTTTGTCATCTCCTCGATTTCTTTCTCATACTGCTCGTTGATCTCGTCCACCCTCTCCTGCTTCTCTTCCTCAAGCTTTTCTTTCTCCTCTGAGAGATATTCTTCAATCTGAAGCAAAAGCAGTTAGCTACTGTTCACGCAATGTTGTAAGAAGCTGAAGCATTTCATTAAGTAACTGCCTTACAATGAACATTGGACAAAATATATATATAATTTTTCTTGGAGTTTTTTTTCCTTAAAACTGATGTCAAAATGACAATCTATAAATCCATAAAAAGGCAATCTAAAAACCCCAAAGGTTTTTGATATTTGAGTCCCTCTTATCATGGAGATGAAGAGAAATCAAGAACACCTTTAGCGAGCATGATTTTCTCAAAAGTTTTAGATAGGATATCTAAATTTCCAAGAAAATTTAATATGATTTATAAATTTATAATGTTCCAATGTCCACTGATTGCACTTACAGCCTGCCCAATCTAACTGTTTACTACTACAGAATCCTACTCCAATGTACTTGTAGGTTTTTAATTGTCAGTCTCTTGAACAGAACATCAGTCACACTATATCCTCTACTAAAGCTATCACAGCTACAACACACTGACAACAAATAATTAAATGCCCAAATCATATGACCACTACACCAATGCAAGCTTCTGTTACTAAACCTATGTCACCCCAAAAATTTCACCTCTTTCTTAATCTCCTCTCTGGCTTTTTTCCTCTCTTCCTCAATGTTTCCCCTTTCTTTGTTCCGGACCTCAGCAAGCTCCGCTTTGATCTTTTCCAGCTCTTTGGCATGCTCTTCCCTACAAAACAAAATGGATATTGCTTTTTGCCAATAATTTAACTTGGATATCAAGATTACCAGGGTTGTAGTAGTCCCAGAAACAATATGACTTTAAACATTTGGAAAGCATGTTCATATTTTTTAAAATTATAATTCATTTTGGGAATTTAACGAAATTCATAGAGAATGTATTAGATTTATTATCTGTTGGTTCATCTCATCAAAAACAAACACCTAACAGTATTGCAAACATCTACAGGAAAAAGCACAGTTATGCACCTCATTTTCTTGGTCTCCTCCTCAGTCTCTACCTTCATTTCTCTTCTTATTTTAGCCAGGGAGTCCAGCTTGCCTTGCATTAGTTTGGTTTCTTCATCCTCTATCTCTTCATTGATCTCATCTCTGAGGATTCTGAAACAGGGGGGAAAGTATAATGCAATAAAGATTATAATTATGTAGAGCCTGATTGTTTTAAAAGAAAGAAAAAGGAGGAAAGAAAACTTAAAGAATAATAACAAAAAAAAAAAGACATCATTATAATATAGCACGAGAAAGTCTAGGTTAAATTCTACGATCCTAGATGCATGATGCACACCTCACCTCTTCATATATAAAATATATAACATACAATTTCACAAAGTATTGCAAAAGATCCCACTTAAAAAATCCAACAAACCTGAGCTTGTTCTCTTTAGTTTGTCTCAGATCTCTCTCAGCTGCCTCTGTCTCCCTCTGGATATCTTTCCTCAGCTGAGACAGCCTCTCTTCTTTCTCCTACAATGATATCAAAAGTCAACAGTAGGGGATTAAGAAAAAAGATGTCAAAAGACTTTCTTACACATCTTAAAGATAGTAGCTTAAAACTAAGCACCTGTTGTACAAATAATTTTATCTATGTATTCAGTCCTTGACCCTAAAAGCCTGCCCTAATCTGAAGAGTACTACTTCATAAAAACTTAAAGATAAAGCAGTATATAACTGGGTCAGCACCTACCTCCAGCATTTCAAGCTTGGCGTTTTCTTCCTCCTCTTGTAACTTTTTACGCAGCTCGTCCAGGGCCTTCTCATTGGCTGCTTTCAACTTTTCCTCCTCAGCCTTGAGCTGTCTGTCACTCTCAGCCCTTCTGTAATCGCAATTTGCTACTGTTAAGTGTATGCACTGATAAAACACTTTTTTAAAATTATCTATTAGATTCTAAAGAGACAATGACGCCAAACATATTCTGCACTTCAATTCTTACAAATGCAGTGTTAGATTGTTTGTTGAATTATGAGTAGAAAAAGAAATAACAATCTTATATTTACTACTTGTTGCTAACAAGAACCAATCTTTATGGCAAAAGAAAATTGAAAATGCAAGAAGGAAGAGTTATATATACAGACATACATGCATGTGCGGACACACAAACACACACACACACATGCACACTTACTTCTCTGCTGCCAGAGCTGCCAGAGCTGCCATTTCAGCCTTTCTTTTCCTCTCGTCCTCCATGGAGGTGCCACTGGCAGAGGGGGAAGGTAGGGTAACCTTGGTGGCTGGTTCAAAATCCTAATAGAATAAAGATAACGAATGAGTAAATACATGACCTTACTTTTATGTTATGAAATCATAACAAAAGCTTAGTAACAGTTATAAAATATGATTTTAAATGATTGAGCTTTGTCCTGATTTGATGAATTACAAACTGTTAATTTTAAACCCACTTAAGAGTTTACTAAAAATGACATTATTTGTCCCAATGTTTACATGACATGCTGGGTTCTCTCCAAATGAATTTCCATAAGCTGAATAGCTGGGTAAGTTTAACCCAACTTAAATCAATATTTTTAACTATTTAAATGTAAAATTTAGCTATAAACAATAACAAATTTTACATTTACCATTGACAAATAAGAATACATTCACCACTTGGTTAAGCTCTACTATGCCAAATTTAGCAAAAACATATCTGACAAATAAAAAATAAAAAAATTTAAATAAATGAAAATTCCTGCATGTTATGCCAAACATGTGACATACCAATTGCAGCTGTCTCTCATGCTCCCTGACATTTCTACTTTGCATATTGAGTGCTGCTTTCAGAGAGGAGTCGGACTCAGAGTCAGAATCTATGTCACTCTACACACAGATATACAGATACACAGACATAGAGAAAGGATAAAAAAAAGAGAAAGAAAAAAGAATGCTAGAATTTGCAACTTACAAAAGAAGCAGATCAAGAAATGAAAACATTAAAAAAGCGCTTAATCAAGATTGCAAGGAAAGCAAAGGAAAGAGTAAGGATGAATTTCTTGCTTAGAAACAGGACTACATCACAGCAAATGAAGGGAATTTTTAGATCATTTTTCTTTGAAACAAAAAGTAATAAAAGTCCTATACAAAAATAGTAAAATAAGGTGTAAAAGGAAAAACATCCAGATGAGAGATAACACAGATAAAAAATAAAAATCATAAAGGATTCAAGTTTAATCATCTTTTTCTTTTCTAGTTGGACAAAAACAAAACTACATCACATACCAAGTGCAAGTCATCATCAAATGTTTTCTTTGGGGGCTGTGTCTGGGGGACAATTCCTGATGGAATCTATGACATAAGAGAGAGACAAGACATAAAGCAAGGTGTTGGACATTATCAGGACTACAGTTATATAAATGGGGTTAAAATTATACTCAGTTATTGTGCATATGGCCATTTCAAGCATAAAATGTGGAACTATAAGCTTGAATGTCATACATCACTGAACAAACCCTCGACTATTCTCTCAGTGCTAAGGATGAAGATGAGAACATCTTCAACTAGTAATAATTGCACTCAACTCCAATAATTACAAGACACTGGAAAGGAATTATTTTAGATGTAATGTTGAAAGAAAGAAAGAAAGAAAGACAATATCACATAAGCAAGTGATCATACAGAATGACAATCAAGCTAAAGAAAGAAATTAAAGTATTTGAAATGAAGAAAGAGAAAGATATAGTGTACATCCAATGAAAAAGTAGCAGGAAGCAACATCTCACTTCTCTCGGTACCTCCAAAGACCAGATGTCATAAGAAAGAAGAATTTATATGAAACATAAAGCATAGAGTAATAACCAGCACCATAAAAAAGATATACATACAAAAATTACATGAAGCAAACTAAAAAGGAAATTGTCACAAAGGGTGATCATTGCCTTCAGTCTTCTATTGCAAAAAATTAATAACACAAGCACACATGGACAAAAGAAATCAGAAAAAGAGCACAAAGCACTTAAGCAGCAAGTGGAGAAATCTATTTCTACTGGAATAAGTTCTTATTAAACATGTACCCTTTTCTGAGGGGTTGGCTCCTTCTTCCTCCCTGACATATGGAGGGCTTCCTGCGTTGACTCTTCATCATCATCGCTGAGATTTAATGCTATCTTTTCATCTAAATTCCTATCAATTCCAAAATCCTGAAATTTCAAGACACCTTACTGTATATCTTTTAAATAAGGCTATTCTTTTCATCAAATCTTGACCAATTCCAGATTTCTGAAATCACATTAAAACATTACTAATTTGTAATAGCTTTACTGTGTGCCCACGACAAAAGAAGACTGGAAATTTTAAAGAAGCCAGTGAATGACACATCTCCTGGGATTCTGCAGTCAGAAAATGATCATTTAAATATGACTACATGGAGACAATACCACAGCTACTTGGAGACCACACCTTAACTTGCAAGGATCAGCTTTCACCTGTATGGCATTGTCTGTAGTCACATTGTAACATATAAATAGTGTATCATAAATAACCAAATAACTTCAAATCTGAGCAATTTTGCAACATATATATCAGTTATCAAACTAAATACTTCCAGGCTAAGAGGTCTATTGCTAAACTGCGATAACTTTGTAGACTTTGTGTACAAAAAATTCTTATGAAATGACAAGTAACATTATTGTTTCCATGTGAATTTGACAATATTTGATATAGCAAAGTGCAATGCTGTTACCTGAATATGTCCAAACAGAAATTAAATTTGCTGTTATTAAAACAGCTTTTATGTTGAAGACCACTCAAATTTCATGTTCTTGACTTTTCTAATAAGTTAAACTTTTATATATATCTTTTTTTTTTTTTTTACTTACGATATCTTTTCCGTAATCCTCACTGTCACTCTCAGACTGTACAGGCTTGGCAGGTTTGTCACTGGCCTCAGATGTCTACAGGGAAATAAATATATATTATATCAACATAGGTGTCTTCTTAACAAGTCTGAACCAGTTCACTAACCACAATCTAGTACTAGTACATATCCAGAATTGCTTTCTGATCTGAATTAACAGACAAACATAATAACATAATAAAAGCATCTACACAATGATTATCTGAGTGTACATAAAGATTGCATTACAAAGAATATGTAAGAAAACATTTTAGTCTGTCCAGGTTTTGGGGTGGGGGTGGAGGGTGGAGACTGGGAGGTTGGGAGGGGAAAAGACAGTATATGACTATTATTACTACGCAGTACAATAAATACCTCATAGCCAAACTCTGTAGCCTTCTCCATCTCTGCCAAATCAAAACGGATGTTCTTCAGGTTGTTCCTGTCATTGTCAGACTGAAATGGACATTACAAAATGTCACCCTTTGTTTCACAAAGGCAATGAGTCTTATCTAGGGAAATATACTACTAAAAGAATTAATTCAGCAAAATACTTGGATACTTGTCAAATCAAAACTAAACCAATGATTATTAAAGGAAAAAATATTTTAGATTTTCTTTAAGCAAACAAGAATACGTCCAGCCATTTGCCAAACTTATACAAATGCCAGCAGGCACCCAGAAACTCACATCACTGTCTGACATTCCCCCCAGGTCCAGCTTCTCCTCATGCTTGGACATCATGGAGGACGGGGCATCCTTGGCACGGTTGGACTTGAGGAACTTCTTGCCTCCACCACCTTCTCCCAGAGCTAGTCCATCAGAGCTACTCCCCAGCCTGGCACCTGTTGACCCCATGGACCCCAGGGTGCTGCCCATTGTGTTCATGGGCTGAAGTTAATAATAATAACATTTATTTTGAGTCTAAAATCTGAATTTGTTAAGGAGACTTTACAATACTACATGAACAAATATTTAATAATAATAAAAAGGCTAGTTAAAAAGTTGATTAAAACAGGAAAATTGATTAAAACAAATAACGTAGAAATTATAATGTTACTTGATCACTCACATTAAAAGTCATTCATGAAAACAGGTCATTCAGGTTATACAAATACTAATCACAGGCATATACATCAATGAAGCTGTGACTTAATTCCATAACTATCTATATCACTTTACATGTACCATATATATGTTTTTTACCCTAGTCTGAGAAAGGAAAAGAGAGAGTCACCTGAATAGAAGGGAGAGCAGGTTTGTTGAAAGCATCAGGTTGGTTTTGTGTATTCAGAGGAGGCAGAGGAGGTTTTGAAGAAGGTAGACCCTGGAAGTTAACATGCAAACAAACATGCAGGTGACAGTGTGAGAACTGGGTTGGTTAGCAAAGGAGACAAAAAGCAAAAGAAGTGATTAGTGCACATTAAATAAAGAGAAATAGAGGGGTGGGTATATCTTAAAGTGTAGGTTACTGTGCATGCAGAAAAGAGAAAAGAAACTGAAAAATGATAGCACAATTGACAGTAAAATGGGTCAAAAAGACTAAGCATTTTGTAACATGCAAGCAGTGGAAAGATTGGGCAAAAAAGTCCATCTGCTGGACATTGGTCAGCCTCTTACCTCCATGCTTCCCACCGGCCTGAGTGGTCCAAGAGATCCGTGTTTGCCAAGAGAGCTTCCCATGGTGCTGCCCCCTAGAGTGTTCATGGGGCTCCCCAGGGTGTTCATGGGGCTCCCTAAGGGGGTCTCTCCTCCCTTTAGTGGACCAAGTCCCTGTGGCTGAAACATAATAAGTTATATATTCAGTAAAGTTAGGCCATTGTGTACAATGTCCTTTTCATCCATGTCAGGATGCTAACTGCTTTGCATGACCTTTACTTATTTTATATTACAAAATACAATATAAAAGGAGATGAAACTAAATTTTAGACCCCTAACATATAAACATGACATGGAATAAACAGCTTTTGCTGAAAGATAATGGTACATGTGGAAAAGATGTCATCCTACAGTTTACAAATGTGACTGAAATCATGGGGTTATGTTGAATGAACTTCTGACAAATAAAAATGATGGAGAAGATGCTAATATTTATTTTTAACTGTAAGTTCACACCAAGACAGTCAAGCACATTCAAATATATTCATCTGCTAAGGGTTAGTGTTACATAAAAACTTTCCTAGCTACTTTTATTGAACTGCTAAATAAATGAAATGAAAATACAAAATTAGTGCTCTTACAATACCTCGCAAATATATTTATATGTAGCAAAGAAGCTGTACCAGAAGTAATCAAAAAGAATAAAACTTCAGAAATGTAAGCACGATGACATGGCTTTAAAGAGGCATCACAGCATTCAATTTTAGTTAATTGTATTTTATGGAAGCAATGTGGCAATAACATAACACAGTCTACGTTTTGTGCAACTATTAACTTATATACAATCTAATTTCAACTAAGCCAAAATCGTCTTCAACACTCAGCAGTAGAAACAGTCATTCATTTTTACAACAAAAATTAAAAAGCTGTTCCAAAGCTTTCAGATTTATCAAAGAAAAAATACATCTTTTTGACCAGGGTTAATTTTTTTACAACTATGTTGCTTCACAATTAACACACAACAGTGCACAGAAACAACACATGTACGGTAACATCAAGATGGTGCAATGAATAAAAGCAACAATAAGCAGTGTGCATTTACAGCCAAAATACAAACATTTTATAAATAGCAAATTCCATTTTTCAGCCTACGCACATTTTCTAATAGAACAGGGTAAGTGAACATTGATTGCATTGGACTAAATATCTAAACATCAATCAACTAATCACAACACGTGCAATGCATTCTGGGAAGCCACACGATGATCACCTGACTTATAGGACCCAAGGGCATTCTGGGAGAAGTGAGGGTTGCCTGGGGGGACCTCATTGTGGACACAGGTTGCAGGTCCTATAAATGTGTTATCAAACAGCACTGTATTGGACATGTAAGCACTACACGATGAGTTTTCATACACTTCCACCAAAATAATGGCCACTGTTTCCATTATATACCATGTTAATAGATGCATATATTAATAGATAAATCTTTTCATAACAGTCATGTATTCCATAATCATTGTCATTAGATACACTTTCAGTTAGAAGTACTTACCATACACAGCAAAAATTCACTATCAGGATTCAATTTCTAACAAGTTCTAATTAGCAAATAATTTTGATAAAATTCTAATATCCATAAAAGCTTCACCTTACCTCATCCTTTTTGCCTTTCTTCTTTTTCTTGGCTGTGTCCTTTTTCTTTTTGCCAGCAGCTGCAAAAAGAAGATACCTTTTAAAATACTTTGTTACTGCTTTATCCCAAAAGACTATAAAGAACAAGGATTTCTTGTCAAATGGTGATGTCAAAAACCTAGGTCATTTTATGGTCTAAGTTAGTTCAGATATGAACATCGTAAGACAAGATTTTTGTAATAATTTATTCGTTCCTGTCTTAACATTAAAACAAAACATAAGTCAGTGTGAAAAAAAGGCAGAGTTTCTTGGTAAAAATGAGATGTTCATTAAAAATAATCCAGCAACATGTGAGTCTAAAATAATTGATATCAGCAAGGACAATGTGTAAAAGTCTTTGATGAAGGGAAAGGTGTGTTAACATTCAAGTTAAGTGGACATTTCTAGGAGTGACCTCAATCTAGTACTACTGAGAACCCTATAAGGCTAGGTTTACCAAAGACATCACTAATTATAATTCTCCCTTTATTCCAACCACTTCCCTCCATGCTACCGCTAAGGGGATAAACTTTCTATGGGGGAGGAGAGGGATTTCACTGACTGAATCTGTAGAGCTTATCAACTTAATCAAGAGGCCATCAAAACTGGACAACAAGAACAAGAGTTAACCCAACACGGGTATAAGTGTGTCCCATGTTATAAGATAAGAAGTGACCATGTTTTATCTGAATGCACCAGCACTGACCATTTCCAGCCCTGGATCCCTGCATGGCCTGCCTGCGCCTCTCATCCTCCACCATTTTTCTGTAGTAGTTGTCGCAGGGGTGGTCCCAGATGCTCTCCCCTGTGGAGAAGTTGAAGTAGTAGATGTCTCCATTGACGTCTTGACTGAAAGAGAGAAAAAGAATGATAAGAAAATGATAAAAAGTATAATTATGCACAATTTTTAATGACTTTTTAAAATTATTTTAAATGATTTACAGGCTTTCAGCAGATTGTCACTAGAATCTTGGTTGGTGAAATAACAAAATTATGCTACCGCAAAGAGCTGGTGAGTGTCCTTACTCAAACTTATGTCATTATCTATAGGCATACTAAAAGAAAAGTGCTGCTTTCGATCTTTCTCTAGAAATCCATTACACTTGGGATGTGTGTCATATATGTGTGGGTGTTCATACATGTGTTGTTGTAAAATCATATATTCACCATGGTTTCCAATCAGCTGGTAGTGGAGCATTGATGCCTTCACGGGCAACATACATCAAATGAGGCTCTCTGTCCACATCAATTCCGATGATTTGAGCATATTCACGGATTTCTGAAATTTACATTTCACAACAGATGAGTGACACAATACATCTTCATACAGGTAAAAGTTTACACTTCTTACTATAAAAACACACCTGTTGTAATTTAAATGACCAAACTTAAACATAAATTACAATAAGCAGTATCTACTTTTAATACCTTTTTTTTACTGTAATAATTTGCTTAAATACATGTTAGATAAAATACCATACATTTCACACAAATATTAGTATAAATAAGAAAATGTGACATATCAAATTTTCTTTTAAAAATTACCTTCTTCTGTGGGTTCATAGCTCTCATCATAGTCTTCCTCTAATATCATCTGATCATTAATCATCATGTAGCCTTGGCAGCATTTTTCCTCATCTAAAGCACCTGGTGTACAGAGAAATGAACAATCAAAATCTCATATCAAACTATTTGAGGTGGATTACTGAAGTGCATGCTAGCAACACAAAAAGCAACTGAGTTAAAAGAGAAGCTACATCTAGACAGGAAAGCAATCGGAAAAATGTTAACAAGCTAGGTACAGCAAGGATTTCAATTCTAACTCAAGAAAAATATGAAAGCTCTACAACTAAAAAGGATTTAACAAGTAAAGAAAATAGTTGAAATAGCAGAGCTATGTTAGAGAAAAGGACAAGTTGTTGTTGTTATGAGTTGTTTGTTTCTCCATCTCCCTTAAGAAGAACAATATAAGGCAAGGATATGATAGCATGGCCCTGTCTCCCACCCTTTGCCTGCTAACCTGCAAGACCCGACGCTCTTGCTATGTGTGTTAACCTCCAACGTGGTGGTCTCACCACTTGGCCCTCAGGGAGTGGCCGAGGATGGCTAATCTTACGCGGATGTGGCAGCTTATCCGAGGTCATCCCATGGAACAGATGTATGGGATGGTGGAACTCTGGATCCAGCACTCTCAACTCGTAGGACCCACTGATGGTCTCATCTGAGAATGCTTTACGATACATGACCGGCAGCACGGGGCGTACATACAGCAGCTTCTCTACGAAAGCTGCTAGGTCAAGGTCTTTCCACCAGGCTGGAGGGGGCATGGTCCCAGCCCTGGGGAAGCGAGGAGGAACTCTGATGCCAGTCCCCAGGGGTATGTCAGCACCCAGCGGGTTATCAGGATGAAGAATCGGGTCAAACTCATCTTGCCAACTTGGGGTGACATACTCCAGATAAGATCGGAGTTCTCCAAGGTAGTACATGGGATCATCTTCTTCAATGATTCTGTCTTCAAATATGCTCTCAGGTCTCTGAGTTGGCTGCATGTCATCTGGTGTCATCTGTCCACTCCTGGCAGCAGGAATGACCCGCCTCTGTGGCTTCGGGACAGAGGCTTTATCTTTGTTCTTCTTCCTAGGACGAAGTCGTCCAACTTGGATTTCCTCCCCATCCAATAAACTACGATTCTGCTGTCCTCTAGAGGCTTGTGGCAGTGGTGCTAGGGCACCAGGTCGTGGACCCAGCCCGTTCCTGCCTTGCTGTTCCCTGCCCAGAGAGAGAGGCTGTAGGGTGCCTGGTTTTGGGCGCTGTAAAGGGCCAGGGGCAAGTGCAGATGACCTCAAGCTTTGATCTGCAGGTGGCTGGGAGTTTGGAGCCGAGGATAGCCTTGGGTTTTGGCCAGCTCCTGGTGGTGGAGTTGATGGTTCTGCATTCCCACCTGTTTTACGACCAACAGGTGGCAGGTGCTCCTCTCCAAGAAGAGCTAGAGTGCTAGCTCTGCCTATTGGAGGGAGGGGCATACTTCTTTATATGAAGCTGCAGTTGCAGTCTTTTATGTAAGTTAATTTATACTGTGGAGGTTTAACTCCAGTGCAAATTAAATTTGGTGAGAGTTATTGAGTAGTTTATAGAGAGTTTTTTTTAACTCGTCTCGGCACAGAAGACGCAAGACAGGTTTTAGAAGGTTCAGTCAAATAGGGTTAGTCCTCCAGTAGAAACTGGATAGAATGGAAAAAAACTGAAGAAAGAAAAAGTGAAGCAGAGATGAAAGACCAAAGAAATAAAAGCCACAAAAGCCACAGAGCAAGCAAAGTCAGTCTGAATAAACATCTGCAAGTACCAGTACTAATTATTATAACATTCGACAAAATGAGTTATAGTAAAAAGATATAAATATTTTTTTGAGGTACCATAGCTGAAATAAAACAAACTTTTTTACAATATTTCATAAACAATTTACTATACTGATGCTTTTTAAAAACTTACTTGATAAAATAAATTTTGAGTCCAATATGAGTTAAGATCATGCTGATCAAAAGCATTATATTGGTAAAAAATAATTTAACAATATAATTTTTTTCAAATAATGGGGAGTATGCTTTAGTTGACTGTCTCAAAGTGGTATGCGTGCATAATAATACTTAGGCTTACATGACAGTTTATTCAGGCTGATAAAAAAAGTTCTAGACAGTAGAAACAGGGAGTTCAAAAACATGCTGGCAAACAAGATGGTAAATTCTGAGCAACATACAACATTTAATACATATTGATTATAAAGGCTTACATCATTAAGTTTCAACCCTTTAGTAATAATAAAACATTTAAAATCTAAAATCTAGTCAGTAGATGTATATCTTAGTGACTGCATAACATACTTATATATCAGATTTAGAGATTGGAAACACATAGGAAAGTTAACTTAGCACATCACATTGTTTAACTTTTCAGACACATCCAGCAAGTTCACTTTGAACACTACCACCATCAATCTTCATTTTTACATCATGCAGGCTTTTGACACTAAATGTTGACATGCTTACCTTAATGTAATAGACACAGATGGTCTTCACCTTTAATTAACTAACAGTGATATTTAGTGCCTGACCAGTGTTGTTCACTATACTCTGAAATGAAGGAGTTGATTCATCAGATTAAAGAGATGGGAAAAAATCAACTACTGCTGACACAGTAGGTTTATTGCCTTTGCATATCTGCAACTTGCAATACTGACCAAAAATAACTAATGCAACTTGCCTTTGCTGTTTAAAATGCACTTTCAAACTTAGTCTAAGGAAAAATGTTTTGGTTAATAACAGAGACGGGATGACAAATTACATTAAGTGAAATTAAAAAAAAATATATATCAAAATAGTTGTGAAAATTGGAAGATATGTCCCAATTTATGATACTTTCAGCTGTTGCTATGTGACAATATGGCTTCCCGTTGTCTTAATAAGTTAACGCTTTGGGCGGAAATTACATCACAACTTCTAAAATTCAGGAAAACAGTCAATTTTCCGATTGGTTCAGCTATTAAAAAATACCAAATAACTCCAAGTACGCCAGTCTAACGTAAGCTGGCCGAACGAAGTTTTAAGCATGCATTTTGCAACAGATTGGTGAGGTGAAATAAAAAATGTGACTTACCCAGTCAAGACTTGAGCAAGGAATAGATTCCCGTTGTCACACAAACATATGACGTAAAAATAACGTCAGAAACGTCAAAATACGCAACGAAAAAAACGTAAACAATCGTGCAACAATCAATCGGTAGCCATTTTGAATCTCCGTGACGCGCTGTTGCATGATGGGAATGGGCTCTCCAAGAGAAACAATCAATTTGATACAGCTTTTTTTATGCAGCTGTATGAATGATTGCTGTAGATAAGGGCTGAAGATATGATGTCAAATATATATTTTGAAAAAAAATTGACCATCCTTTTCCCCTTTAGCTACTTACTGCTTCTATTCAGCAAATTGAGAACAAGCCTTTCTTTAATTTGAACGAAGTTGGGACAC